CTTGCTGCAGGAGAAGCAGCTGTTCGGCGGCGGCAAGGGCTCGGGGCGTCTCAGGTGAGCCAGCAGGGGGACTCCTGGGACCGCGGCCCCTTCCCGGTCCCCTCCCCACCCTCGCGCGTTTTTCCCTCTGTCCCTGCGCCCACAGGCTGTGGACGTTGGGCGCGCTGCGGACCCTGGCGCTGCTTCCACTCGTCTTCCTGGTGCTGCAGCTGCTCTACTTGGTGCTGGTGAAACCCGAAGCCATCCGCCAGGGACTCGCGCGCCTCCGCTCGGACGCCGCCTTCCGCCGCCTGCGCTACACGCTGTCCCCGCTGCTCGAGTTGCGGGGGCACGGGCTGCTGCCTGCCTAGAGCGCATCACACCGGCTCTGGCCGTGTGTACTTCCGTCTCCCGTGTGGTTCCTGGGGCGCCCGGGGGACAGGGCTGAGGGGAGGCTCGCGTGTCGCTCCTGACCGGCCAGGGCCCTTGGGCTCAGAGGGTGCCAGTCCTTCCCTCGGGCCTTGGGTCTGGGGAAGCGTCGCGAGTCTAGGACTCGCCTCTCCCACAGCCTCCTGCTGGTCTGCGCCTTTACGCACCGACCGCCACCCTGGGCCTTGAGCCTGAGCCCTGGGGAGGAGCGGGCCCTTGGGCCGGTTTCCCGTGGAGTCCGCTTTTGCCTGGCTGCGTGTGGTCGTTCAGATCCCCATCCCCGTGCACCTCGCACGCCTGCCTCTCTCCGCTCCCTTCTGCTTTCTGGGCGGCTGAGCACAGTAAGCAGTGCACACTCGGGACTTGAGGCTCCGTGGGTAATTTTCTTTTTTATTCATGAGGAATGTTCTCCATGGAGATGAACCTTGAGTTTTACTTTGACCCCAAGATTGCTCTTATTTTACAGTATTTCAACTGCTCAACAACTGCTTGGTGTACCTCTGCACATACACAGGTGTTTGCAAAAAACTTTCTTGGTGGTACTGGGGGTTCAAGGCTGGGCCTTCACGCTGAACTAGGTCTCTAGCTCATACAGGGTCTCAGGGAACTGCTGAATTACCCAGACTGGGCTGGAACTTGTGATCCTACCTTAGCTCCCGGGTGCTGAAATGACAGGGGTGCACCACTCCCTCGCCCCTATCTTTTTCATCTTGACTTTAGGCACTCTTTAGGCTTTTTAGCTGTTTGTGTAATCCATCATATCAAACTTAAGCATTGTGCTGAGACCTAAAAACCCATTCTTTCCTGGAAGTCACAAAGACATCCTATTTTCTTCTGAAGTCTTTCGTTCTCTTGCCCCTCCCCGTTTTTGGCAGCCATACTGGCTGGGTTCAGCACAGTTCTTTTGCACGGAGTTACATTCCCATCCCTTTTTATTTTGAGATGGAACCTAAGTTGCCCAGGCTGAGACCACACTGGGAATCCTTCCAAATAGTTTGGATTATGGGTCTGTGTCTTCTTGCCTGCCCACCCCACCCCTTCCTTTTTGCGATGAGCTCTTCCTGTGTTGCCCAGATTTGCCTTGAATTCCTGGATTCAAGTACTCTTTCTGCCTCCGCCTGGGACTACAGGCCTGAATTGCTGAGCCCATATTTCTTCTAAATACTTTTAATGATGTACTTGTATCACTGCCGAAGTGACTTGGTACAGGTGGATATATAGTAGAGCTATCATCTTTGCTAGTAATCCATTTTATGCTTTCTTTTTTTTTTTTTTTTTTTTTTTTTTTTTTTTTTTTTTTTTTTTGCTTTTCAATGAACATTTCGTATGACTCCATATTCTTTCCTTACCATATTAATTATACATTTGCGGGGAGTCAGTGCTAGAGAGTAAACCCTCAGCATGCTAGGAAAGATCTCTACCATTGCAGTACGTCCCAGGCTTTTAAAAAAATATTACTTTGAGACATGGTCTCGCTGAATGCCTAAGCTGATCTTGAATTTGCACTTGTTTCAGCCTCTGAAGAAGCTGGGATTATAGGCATGTGCCACCATATCTGGCTATCTTTAAAAAAAGAAAGATATTTTTAGAAGGTGGTCCTACAATTTGCCATATACATTTACAACTATTCCAAGTCCACTTTCAAATAACACTACACCACCTCATAACAGTACCAGGACCTCGTGATAAATTAATTCCTCCCTTTGTCCCTTGCATCGTAGGTGTTGTCTGTCCCACTCACACATGAACTGTCACCCAATACAATGCTGCTTCGCTATTACCATTCTGATCAGACTATTATGTTAGATCAGTAAGAAAAATAACTTTTCTTTTACCTCCCCTATTCACTTCCTAATGCTCTTTATGTGAGTGAGTGTCTACCTATACCATTTTCCTTCTTCCCATAGAACTTTTAACATTCCTTGCAGTTTTTCCCTGGCCAGGTGGTGCATGCCTGCAACCTCAACTACTCAAGAGGCTGAGGTGGGCAGGTTACTTCAGCCAAAGAATTGGAAGCGAGACTGGGCAATAACAAAACCCAAGAACCTCAAATCTCAGTTTTTGTTTAAGAAAGAGTTGGTCCTTTACTTTTTTGTTTTGTTTTTGTTGTTTTTTGAGACAGGGTCTCACTTTGTAGTTCAAGGCTGGCCTTGAATTTGCAACAATCCTTTTTGCTTCAGCTTCTAAGTGCTGTGATTATAGGCATGCGCCACCATGCCTGGCTGTCCTTTACTTTTGAAGAGGATTATTTCAGCACGTAGAATTACAGGTTGGTGGGGTTTCACCCAACATTTTAAACATTTCACTTCATTCTTGCTTTCATGGTTTTTAAAGAGTTGAATGTAAATCTTAAACTCACTCCTGCAAAGGTCAGGTGCTTTTCCCAGATATCGTTTTTAGCTTGGTGTAGTGCTTGGGTATACTATATAATAATAATAATAATAATAAAAATAATAATAATAATAA